GCGTAGGCAGGCTGGCACGAGGCACGTGCGCGCTCAACTGCGGCGCGCTTACCGTATGTACGCGCTCGCGTAGCTTCTCGCGAACAAACAGACGCAGTATTCGAAACGGAGCCTTGAACCACAGCGGCGCGGTCACTATTAGTACCTTCTTCAATTTCGCCGGGTATCCGCCCTGTAACAAAGATTTTTTTCATAAGTATATTTAAAGAATTCTAATGTTAATGATGACACTAGCAATCTCTTAAAAATGTTTAATATATTTTGATTGCAAATCTCCTACAGTACCAACAACGTTTTTCATACACTCGTCTATTATGAAGCAATAACGATAAAATTCATTAGAAACGTTTAAAATAATCCTCAAAATTGTTGCTAAAATTAATAGGGACATAATTTATATCTTCGCCAGCTACATAGCATATATGCCGCATTGTCTGTTGTATTCATGCAGCGCTGGAGGTGAAGCCAGCAGATTTCTCGCGAATAAACAGGAGTGCACTTGACTCCCGCTCCATTGTTTGAAAAATATGAGAGTCGTGTAGCATCTTTATGAATTCACAAAACAGGCTAACCGTGTGTCGCCTGCCTAACACGTCATTACAGCACAAATATAACATTCTCTCTCGCTCTTTTGTACTAACTGTAACTTTTTAAAACCTACAAACATTTGTTGTTGTATATGTAAATGTATTGATATCGAGAAGGCGAGACAGGTGTGGCGATCGATCGATCACAGAGGTAATCTCTAGGATTAGAGAAAGGGCAGCCGGTTCAAACGGACGTAATCGTCGCTTCGCTTGTAACTAAATCCTCATGATTGAACAGGCATGCACAATAAAGTACGTACAACAAGTGTAAACAGATGTGCTTACGACTCATTCTCTCAAAAACGTACTTTTTCCCATGTATAAATTTAGATTGTGAGAAATTAATTACCCTTCCAAAGGTGTAAAAGAGTACTTATTTGAAGCAATGCCACACGAATTATATGTCGAAGGCACTTCAGAGTTGCGACGATGGAGCAAATTTAGGTTTTATTTATCTATTGTTAAAATATTGTATAGTTTAACAATAGATAAATAAAACTTAAATAGACTAAAGATTTCTATAGTATCTTTAACGCAATATTTTAAGACTGACAGAACGGCGCTGAGTGTTCGCAGAGCTATGTGCTGTATTGCGTCGTTTCGTAACACACGCAAACGCAACGCCCTTGTGGCATCACTCTAACACAAGAAGTCATAAACGCGCGTTTAATTCGTTCCTAGTTGAGAGTAGATTGCGAGAAAATTCGCGACGGAAGCACTCGAGGCGTCACCGCGCCGCAACCCTGTCAAGTACCACGAGCGAGCACCGGAATAGACACGGACACAGACAAAAGCGGGACACGGCCGCGCGATATAATAATAGCCCCAGACTGCGTACAGACTTCTTAATTGCTCTGATGTAACAAAAGCGAACATAAGATACAAAAACAAATGCAATTCTTTATAAAAATTGAAAACCATATCAATTGCAACCATGACTTATCATTTACTATATCACTCACGTCTATTTTTTCCGATGGCGACACCGACTAATTTCGAAATCATCGGGGGTCATTCTTCTTAATAATGTCTTACGAAAGTTTAAACAATTTAATGACTTTATGAGGTAATTTCATAGATTGATCCAGCGAGTAGTATCAGGAGTATATGGATCACCTCAATCTATAATAACCGTTCTAAATATAGTTTAATTAAATGTTCATGACAGATCAAATTCACAGTACAAGTCACGTATACACGCAGTAACACGATAACTCAGAGCAGGAATCCAATAGCTCAGATGTCTCGCGACTTGCGACTGGCAAACGATCATTCAACTATATTGTTAACATGTCACAAATTTACTTACGACAAAAAGAAATAAGTTTTCTAGTAAAATAAAAATCTTGAAAGCAACAATTCTCATATTCTAATCTCGTAGCAGTTGTAATCAGTAAAGTGCTACGTGGCTACAGAGGGGTAAAGGCGAACCTCAGTTCACAAAAGCTAACGCACATTTGATGCTTCAAAACAATCAGTAACAACTCAAAACAAACAACAAAGCAAATTAATTTTCAAGAATTTCCAAACACATTTGTAGCAATAAACATTTGTATTGTTTTAAAAAGAAACATATAAATTAAGTTCATTTAAACATACTTTAAAGAACACTTAAAATTTAGATAGTATAATTTTAGTATTTAATGAACGCGATTATTAGACAAAAGTTAATAAAGACTGAGCAGATTCATTCTCAAAAGATAATTAAGGTAGCGCTGAATTTTAATTTAGGAACAGGCACAAGTGATCGTCGACATAATTTAGTAATGAAAATGAATCCATATTAATTGTGGGAGGTTCACCTCCCCAACCCCTAGGGGTTATATCACGTTGTTCTTATAAATATTCACGGCTCTCTACACTTAAGCACTAGCCGTTCTTTTATGTGAAAATCAACACACAGTCGTCTATTCGCATTGAATGTTTGAAAATGTGTAATTAAATGTAAATCGTTTGTTAGTCTCGCCCAAACAAATTACGTACAACCTCAATGTGACATAAATTTATTTTAATTGCAAACATGGTTTCATTTGAAAATTTTGAATTATTTTTTAGTAAAAAGGTTTCTGCAGTTCTACAGTTTTAGAGTACAGTAAATAACTTCAATATTAGATATTATTCTTTAAATTTGAGCCCTTGGTACAATAAAAGTTGCAAATATTTCCAGCACGTTTAGATTCAGAAAAAGAACTCAGACTTGGTATTTTATATTTTACACACAAATTGAAAGATGAATATCGTTTTCTGACTTATTTATTGATATAGTAGCAATAAATACTAACTATAGCTAGGTTTTCAAAGCTAATATTATTTCTTAAAATACTGACTATAAAAACTCCGAGAAGCGGGGGATAAAAGATAGCGCGCCAGCCTCTTGGGAGGGTTAAGGCGCTTTACAGACGTAAAAAAGGTTACCGCAACTGACAGCAGGCAACAAGCTGGTATGACGTTTGTCAACTGTTTTTATTGCTGCAAATCCGTGACTAAGTTTATTCTAATTACTGCAACTAGAAACTGTCGAATTGGTATAGAATTTAAGTGGTGGCAGGTGGTGGGTGGTGGGTGACTTATGCACATACTCTTTGCAAATTGTGGAAATCCCAGGAACCGTAAACTGTGTTAAGCACAAACAATTTCTAAGGATTGAAATAAAAAAAATACAGTTTTTGAAACTAATGTTATTACGTCCGCCGAGTGCCTAAGATATTCAAAGGGTGCGAGGGCGTTGGCCTCGCTTTCAATTTATGAAATCACCTGACACGGAGCCTACTTACGCCCATAATATTAAAACCTTCCTGTGATATCATGAACCTTGGCACTTCTACAAAATAGACAAGACTTAAGCAAAAGATTTTTTTGTTATCTAAAAAGTAAAAATTGAAAAAACGTAAAATTAATTCAGAAATGAATGACAGGTGAAATATTCGATAATGAATAGGTGTTTCGACAATGGATATCCGAATTTACGTTAATTCTCGATTAATAAATCCTTTGATCATTCAGCCTACCACAGATTCAATTACTACGATATGAAATGAGTAAATCCTTTGTACCAAAGTCCATTTATTGATTAAAAGCAGTATATAATCTATATCTATACTAATACTATAAAGAGGAAAGATTTGTATTTTTGCATTTTTGTATGTATTTGATTCAAGCAAAAACTACTGGGCCGATTTTAAAAATTCTTTTATCATTAGAAAGGTAATTTATCTGGGAGTAACATAGGCTATACTTTATTATTACTAATATTGAGAAAACATTAATAAACAGAGTATTTCTGATCCCCGGCATTAAAAAAACCACTATGTTTTAACTTTTCAATTGGCACAGACCTGATAACTACTTTCCCATATTTATACATCTACAGACATGGTCAGTTTCGTGCGGTCTTAATACTGTCTTGAATATTTCGTCCATTGTATATGAACTTTTCAACTCCATAGTTAAAGGAACTATACCCAAGTATAATATTTATTGTAGTCTACTGCAAGCAAGTGCGTTATCCTTTACCTTCCGACATTGTCTAGGTGTCTAGACGAAGGTAGATGACGTCATCGGTACAAAGAAACCTCCAGGCGCTGTCTAATGCGCTTTGTCTAGAATCTACAAAGTAATGGATACCGACAACTGAACAAAGAAGATTAAAAGCTATTACTAATTCGCATTATTTTAACTCTTTAGTTCATTATAAGACGAAGACGAGTACAGATGAAGTTACCTACGAGTTATAGTTTAATTTTTTTCGGTTGAGTTAGACTTTTTATTATTTTGATACCTCTATAAAATTTAATTACTCGGACACATACTTTACAACGAAGAATAAATTATTTTCTATATTTCTAATGCTAGTAAATGTATAAAAGTAATAAATTATTGATATTTGTTGGTTTACAGTAAAGTTCAATTACGTTGCATAGGTAGCTAACTGTTCAGACTGACGAGTGCTCTACAAGAGTACTCGACTTGCCATTTCACGTGATATGTTACTATCGCTATTCACGAAAGAGAGTTCATACAGTTTTTTATTACATTTTTGATAAAGAAACTAGTACCTAAATAAAACCCTACTATGTTCATCAGCTGAAATAGCCTGATCATGATGATGATGAGAATGTTTGGTGATGCATACACAATAATTTATTACAGTTTACATATCCACTTGATGTTATGTTAATAAAAATCGTTTGCATTGGGGGCAGATTACATGCAGATTTAATTCCGGTAGACGGAACAAAATTTAAGCAACTATACTATACAAACATATTTAATATTTTACGTCTTAAGGTACTTGACCCCTCATCTAAAATTTATGTGAAGCAACCCTAAAGGTAAGGGGTTAATAATAATACACATAATTTATAAAAGGATATTTCGTATAGTCGGAGAGACAGGACATCTGCAATATTAAATTTGGGCATAACTGAATGACAGAAAGGGTGAGAAATGTGGGTTTATTTTTACAATACAAAATTAAACAAAATATTTTAATTTCATCAAAGATATATCACAAGGTATACATATTTATGAAGTATATTGAAATGCGACCTAATATCAACGGTATTGCAAAATACGGTCGATATAT